TACACGTTAACATGGATGAAGCAAAATACAGCTTAAATCAGTTCTGAGGAGCAGACGCCGTGTCCATAAACAATTTACAGCAAGCTTATCTCCTTTAAAGACAACGTCCTATTACTTGTTGTCACATAAAAACGAAAGATGCGTAACGAGCTGATGACAGTGCGATGCTTGGAAAGCATGGCAGAAGCACACGTCAAGACTTGGACAAAGGCACATAATTACGACGGACATTAAATTTCTGAAAAACTCGAGAAATGAGGTTAAGTTTGTGGGAGATGAATGTGTCTAGAAACATAAACAATAAAAATAGATCGACAAAGACCTAAAGCGAAACGCTTTTTTTTTTTTCAAATTCGAACGCCATTCGGTCCCAGACAAAACAGTCAGATGGGCTTAAACTTCACGCAAGCATAGACGTTCCGTTATGAACAAAAGTATGCAAAATGTAACATGCAGGAGTAGTTGTAGCTGCTGCCGGATATGTAAAACAAGCTACAGGTAATCGGGTACCGGTATACCGTTATCATCGATGAAAGCTCCAGCTCCTTCTCTGTCCCTGATTATCTTGTTGCCAACTGTTCCAATTTCACCTTTTTGCGCTTTTTCACTGAGTGGCAAGGGATTTTCCCTTCTTAGCGTGAACTTTGGTCGGTTCAGTTCCGCAATCGGCGCCATCTCCTTGATCGTTACTGCAACCGTGTAGCACGGTTAGTTTCGACTGATTATGTCAGATGCTCGGAAGTTTCCAAAAACGCCGTTTTAAATGTGCTAGGAATTTGAGCATAAAAAGCAACTGATGCCCTCCATAACTCGACATCTGGAAGTGTATGAGTAGCAGCAGACAGGCAAGGCTGGTGATGACGGATACTTCTTTCAAGGGTTACCTGGAAGTTGATAGTGATTTCGACTTTCTAACACATTCCAGTAGTAATTTACTATCGAAATGAATGAACAAGTCGGAGAGAGGCGCGATTGGGTCTTGATCTTCACATGTCTGTCAGATGCGAACATATACCTTTGACAGTTCATAACTGATATTAAATTACTGATAACTGCAGCATTATAATTTCACCTCAGAATGTAACTGTGTAGCAGCTTGAAAAGGCCAAAAGGAACCAGCAGAAGTGAGGTATCTGGAAAACCTTCGATATCGGGACCCTAAATAAAATCTCGATCGGATGTGAAGGATAGCACTAGGATGAACTGAAGTTTCCGGATGGTTAAGCTCAGACTGTGCCTCGCATCTTGAAATCAGTTGTTATATCATGTTGCCGATGTTTTTATGCGTTTTGTGCTGTGTAACAGCAGTACAAAACGCATATTGTTACGGGGTCGTCTGTGTGTGTGTGTATGTGTGTCCGCAGCAACTTGTCCGCAACTTTCAACTCGGGAACCACATAAGCTAGGAAGCTGAAAA